TGATTAGGAACATCTTACAAATATAGACTGATGCACAGAAAATTTAATTAACTTTTTCCAAATTGTCCAGTTAGAAATTGGTAGCCTCCAGATTGTGACAGGGTTTCCAAGGCTGTACATCTTTGCAGGAGCAGAAAGCCACATACTTCTTCCACAGAGTGGGCTCAAACAGCTGACCTTGGACTTTGCATTCCAGTGCTTATCCTCCAGAACCACAGCACTCCCTTAATTGATTTAGAGAGGTCGGTGGGTATATACTAAGTGGTGGTGGTATGTTGTGGAATTGTTCCGACTCATAGTGACCATGTATAGGGTTTCTGAAGCTGTAAATCTTCATGGGAGCAGAAAAACCTCATCTTTCTCCCATGGAACAGCTGGTAGTTTTTATGTTTGTTTGTTTGTTTTTTAAACTGTTTTATTGTGAATTATGTGATAGTTTACATGGGAGAAAATTAGCTTTATATTCAGCCTATCGTATTTTGGGTAGCCAATGTCCAAGTTGCCCATTCCTGTGTATTGAGGGTGTGGGAATGATCATCGCTGTAAAGATTTATTCCCTCTTTTGAGCTACTGCATCCATAGGTATAGATCAAGTTTATCAAATTGTATCAGATTACTCTTTTTTTCCTCTTCTTTCTTCTTCTAGTTAAGTTCTGATCATCCAGTCACTGAAGCCAGGTCAAGTGGGTATTATCTGCAAGTGTGGGTGTTCTTGTGCATATCCCCTCTCTTCTTGTCAGCTGGATGTTTCACTCTCCACTTTAGTCCTCTGTGGCTATGTCACTGACTCTGGCCACAGGAGTTCCCTGGTCTTGCCACACTGCTGGCCAACCAGGTCTCTACCTGGGTTCACAGGAGTCTGTTGAACGTAGTAGGATTTCGCTCACAGCTTCATTGCTGTTTTTCCCTCACTTCCTCTTATTGGTCACCAATCAGACTGCATGTCTGCTCGTGTATTCCCCTTGAGTCTAAAGTCTTGGAAGCGAGTTTGCCCTGAGGGGACCTGACCACTTGCAACTTGCTTGTGCTTGTAGTAGTCAGTCGGACTGCTGTTATTATTTTTTAAATTTTCCTGTTGGTCTTTCTTTCAAGGAGTATCTTCTGTTCTTCTTACCACTCCAGGCTGATCTGCTTGTCCTTTCAAGTGGAGATTTCCCACCTCAGAAGATTCTGGATGGGGTTCAGGATTCCACCTATAGCCTTATGCAATGCAGAGGCTCCACAGGAAGCCTCCTTCACTGGGCAAGTTTTAGCCCCATTTTAGGTGTTTTAACAGGTGGTAGTTTTGTACCGCTCTGGTAGCGTAGTGGTTACGAATCGGGCTGCGAACCTTAAGGCCAACAGTTCGAAACTACCAGTGGCTCCGTGGGAGAAAGATGAGGCGTTCTGCTCCCGTAAAGATTTACAGCCTTGGAAACCCTGTACAGGGTCACTATGGGTCGAAACCGACTCGACGGCACTTAACAACAACAACAACAACAGTTTTGTACCGCTGACTTTGATGTTAGCCACTGATTCATAACCAGTAGCTACCAGAACTTCTTAGATATTAAGTACTGGAATGCCAGCCACATGGTTGACTATTAGAATCTACTAGAGCCTATCAGCAGCTCTGCGAAAGAAAGATGAGGCTTACTGCTCCCTCAAAAATGTATAGAAATATGCTTAGCATTAGCCCATAATGTTACTGCTCTTCAGGGCCTTTGAGTGAATTCTGATTCATGACAACCCCATGTATTCCAGAGTAGAACCACTGCCTGGGATTTTCTTGGCTGTAGTTTTAACAGATTACAAGGTCTTTGCTTCTGCAGTAGTAGTGAATGAGTTGAAACGACTCACCTTTTGGTTAGAAGTCTAACACAGTTGGTACTGTAGGCCCTTTAGCACATAGCAACCCTGTTACATGGTTTCTGAAGAGTAGATGGTGGGTTTGAACTGCCAACCTTGTGGTTAGCAGTCAAGTGCTTATTTAAAGCACCACACTAGGAGTTCTTATGATTATATAGTACTATATGAAAGGTGGCTATTTTAATTGCCTTTGTTCCAAACACTGAGGTATAGCTTTACGTATTTAATTTCCTCTCCTTACCACAACCATATTAAAGTGGCTAATAATGCACATAAGAAAAACTGAGGTTTCATCTTTAATATCATAAGCAAAGGTCTGGAATTTGAGTCTGATTCATTGTACTGTACCTTTCTATCATTCAAAATGTTTTCCATTTGAACCTTCTTACATTCCATTCGAGTCCCTGGGTGGTGCAAATGTTTAATGTGCTGAGCTGATAATGAAAAATTTGGAGGTTTCAGTTCGCTCGGAAGCTCCTCATGAAAAAGATCTACTGATTTACTTGAAAAAAATCATTCATTAAAAGCCCTTTGCAAATTAGTTCTATTGTGATACTATGGAGTCACTATGAAGCAGAATTGACTCAATACTGATTTTTGTTTGTTTGTTTTCAATCTAGTGATGTAACTGTTTTTTATCTTACATGCAAAGGACTGAGACAAAGAATGTATGATATACATCCCATGTCTTCTATTGGGCAAAATGATAGAGGCACAAGACTCAGGATTAGAATATCAGATTCATGGTTTGGTATTTATCTCACTATAATTGTCTTGAATTTTTCATCCTTAATAGAAATGTGTGGTGCTATAGGATAAGCACTTGACCACAAGGTTGGTTTAACCTTAAGGTCAGAGGTTCAAATTCACCAGCTGCTCCTCAGAAACCCTAAACAGGGTATCTATGAGTCAGAATCAACTAGACAGTACTTAACAACAACAAAAGAACATTATCTAAATTTCAAGACCTCTGAGGAGAAGAGTGACACGAACCATATTTTATTTGATGGCTACCTCAATTTTTAGTCTTGTGAAAAAACTAAAGCAAAATATTGACAATATGGAGGAAATATGTTCAGATTAGTTTACTTTTTGAAAAAAATGATTCAGCTGGAACACACAGTGTTTCACAGAATTAATTTTTTATGTCATCATTTATAATTTGCTTATTCAGATTTAATTAAACAGTATTATAGATTGATAATTTTGAGCAATAATCATATTTCTACATGGTTGTTGTTGTTGTTAAGTGCCGTCGAGTCGGTTCTGACACATAGCAACCCTGCATAGGGTTTCCAAGGAGCAGTTGATTAGCTTGAACTACCAACCTTGCAGTTCAAACGGCTTTGCTGTCTGGCGCATTAACCCACAGCGCCACACACCAGGACGTAATCTACACATAAGCGTGAAGTATCTGATTTAGCTCCCTAGGTCTGTCTAACAACAGAAATATTATTTTCATTCAATTTATTTTAGTGATTAGGGTAATCTACAAAGACTGTTTTATTCAAATACAGTATTTAAAGAATAATATAAAAATTATATAGTTTGCAACTAATATAAAGAAGATGTACTTAAAGTCCCAACCTTGGCCACAAATAGCTCTAGGATTTCAAGACCTGCACTTTCAATCAACATCATCAGCAGGCAGTAATCCTGGTGGGGTGTGGGTGTGGGGTGGTGGTGAGGGGAGTAAATTCCATAAATAAACAGAACTATTTTCCTTTAAGAGGAAAGCTAATTCTTTTCAATCTACTTTTTAAATTATTATTACACTGTTTTCCTCTCATACTATTTAGCTAGTAGAAGGATAGATTTCCAAAGCTACCCAGTTGGAAAATAAATAGATTCACTGTTTGTCTAGCATTCCAATCTTTGCAAATGTAAATCAGTCCGACTGCTCCTCATTTAAACCTTCAACTTCACAAAACATTAAAAGGTGGCTTTCACTACACAATTTTATCTATCCACTAAGATTTCTGCTAGAACATCATTTGAAATTGACTATCTGATAAAGGGAGACTACTGTCAAAGGTTAGTGAGGTCAACCTGGATAATTACAAGTAGTTTTACTGGGTCAACTCTACCAAACATCACTGTTTGAAGGTTAAATTGTTACAATTAAATATATATACAGATCTCCCCAGAGTTACTTTATTGTTAAACGTAGTGGAAACAGCACAAGCATTTATCTCTGACCTTAATTGTGTTCAAAGTATCACCATTAGGAAATTACACAAAAAAGAGCACTTATTAAAAACATTACAATCTTATACATTAAACAGACATTTATAAAATAAAAGGCATAATTAGCTACTGGAAACAAGTTTTATTTATCACATCAACATTAAGAAGTTCATTCATGTTACTCCCTTCAGTTTAATTGAAGTGTTTTAAGAAATGACATGGGCTCTTTCATTGTTGGTGAACTTGTCACAAACAAAGGAAAATTACTCAGCAGCATTATCTGACGCTAACACAAGTTTCACTTCAGAATGATCATTTCCAAATTAGCAGAATTTAATCATATTTTAATAATTGACAAAAAGAAAGCTTTAAATGGGGATCTTGAAAATAGGTTATTTTCTAATTGTTTTATACATTCCAATCCATTTTGCTTTTTTTCTTAAGTGAATAAATGGGCAATGTTGAAATCTTCAAGAATTACTTTAGTGAAACATTGTTAGCATGCTTTCATTTGAATGAATGTACGGATAAATGAGTTCTTTTTTCTCTCCAATGTAGCAAAAAAATAAATTACCGCTAGGAGTCCTGATGTGGCATACTACGATAAAGCACTGGACCACAAGGTCACTTTGAACCACAAAGTCAGTGGTTCAAAGTCACCAACTGCTCCTTGGAAACCCAATACAGGGTCACTATGAGTCGAAACTGACTAGATGGCACCTTAGCAACAGCAAAAGATCCCAAAGTATAAACCTCGATGTTCTTAAAATTTTTATATGCAAAGATTGGATGTAAAATTTTGTGTATAATGTTTATGGAGTGAACTAAATGGTATAATTTTGATAATGAAAGCAGCTTCTACCCAAGTTTTCAGATTCATGTGAAATTTATTAGAAAAATAATTATTCAAATCTATAAATATGGTTGAAATGGAGATAACATTTTTTTTTCTTTAATATTTTTAGATTTTGTGTTGGAGACAAATTTTTCCTAAAGAATAACATGATCCTTTGCCAGACAGACTACGAGGAAGGTTTAATGAAAGAAGGCTATGCACCCCAGGTTCGCTGATCTATCAACATCACCCCATTAAGAATATAAAGCACTACATTCTTTTATCTTTTTTGCTCCACGTGTACATAAGAATTGACACAGGAACCTACTGAATAGCGTAGATATAGGAAAGCAGGATGGTTATATGGCATAAAGGCGGACTGCATCTGTATGTAGTGAAATTGCCCCAGTTCAGAGTTGAATGTTTATTATTAAAGAAAAAAGTAATGTACATATTGCTGGATTTTTTTGCTTGCTATTCGTTTTTGTGTCACTTGGCATGAGATGTTTATTTTGGACAGTTGTATATAATGTATTGTAATATTTGAAGCACAAATGTAATACAGTTTTATTGTGTTACCATTTGTGTTCTGTTTGCTTCTTTGTATTGTTGCATTTAGTACAATCAGTGTTTAAACTTACTGTATATTTATGCTTTCTGTATCTACCAGCTATTTTAAATGAGCTGTAACTTTCTAGTAAAGAATTGAAGAGGAAATCTCACTAATGATACACATATAGATGAAGCAAGTCTATCAGCATTAAAAATACTAAAAAATAAAGACACATACACACAAAGCATTTTAGAAACATCCACAACTTATTGTCACTAGGATATAAAGTCTATCAGTGTTCTCATTATAGCCCCCTATTTTCAGGGGGTTAAAGATCAGCTTTAAAAAAAAATGCTTACAATTTTCATCTTAAAGCACTTTCATTTTATACCAGTTTGAAAAGTGCCATTTTGAGAATAACTTTCATGCATAGCAGTTGTCCTTTCAATATGCTTTTTTTTGTACTCTTTAACTACACATTGGCTTTATTTTTCTTTTTGTTTTACAGCCATTCAACCCTTATGTGAACTAGTGCCTTTGGGTATCCTATGAAAATTTTCCAAAGGGTTACTTTAAAGAAGTGTTACTACATTTATGAAATAACTGGAAAATGAGAAATCTCTTATACAGTTTTGCCTAGGTCTCTCAACAGGGGCTAGGGGTTTAGTAATTTTGTGGAGTAATAAATTTATGACACCGAAAAGATTTGAGTGTGAATCTCTTGAAACCAAGTGAATGGGCATGGAAGCTATGACCATTGCTTAAGCAGTGATGTGATGTTTGGTCAGAGCAACATAATGCTCATGGAATCTTATAGAAGAGAAACAAAGGGATTGATAAGAAGCTGAAAACTAGTGATTATATATTTTTCTGTATTTTCCTGCCATTTATTTTAATGTTCAAAAAGTAGTGAACACTTTAAAAGTTTGATGCGTCTTACTCTCTTATTGCTTCCTTTAAGTAATTACCCACTCAGAATACATCTCACTTAGGCTGAAATCTGTCATTTTATGTTTTAAAGGTGAAATAGTATTCCCTTACCTACATGATAGCTGATAAAGAAGAAAGCTTTCTAGAATCAGAAATTATGGAGCGTGATTATTCATATTGCAATTAAGGAAACCAAAATGAAAATATATCCCCTCTTCTTGGTTGCTCACACTCTGCTTCTTTGTTTCTGCTCACTGTAATCAGAAAAACTTTTCAAAAAATCTAATTCCACACAGGCATTTTTTTTTTTTTTTTTTTTGAAAAAATTTAGTACTGTAGGTTTTTGTTTTTAATTCTTCTGGGTCACATATATAGGAGACAATATTTCCCAGTGTTATTTGCACACATATTTTGTACTGCCGATACATACATTACAGATAAAGATTGTTAAGCCTGAATTCCTGGTTTGGGGCTAAAATATTAAATTGAAAATAATGCTGATGTGGATTTGAATTGTTTTAAAGCAAAACTTTATAATGAACATGCATGTGAATCCAGATATTGCCTCACATTCTTAAAACAATGGTTCTGTAAAAGTGAATGATATGTCTTTTCACAAATGCTTCATGGTTAAGAGTGTTCAAGTCACATGTTCCCTAAATTTGAAGTTTACTGAAGACATAATTTCAAAAAAAAGGAATAGTTGCAGCCTTAGAGCCTTACATTTGTTTCATGGAAAGACTTACAGAGCAAAACAGACAAGAAGGAGGGGATAAGGAAGAACAAAGTATTTCCACAACGGTGCCAGGTACTAATCCCCATTGAGAATTGTTTAAAAGTCATGTGATGTAAATTGTGAACCAGCAGTATCTTTTTCAAATGATTGTTTTTGGATTTAAACAGTTTTACATATATTTACCAACATGTTAAAATACTTGTAAATTGAAAACAAAATTCTTTCAGCTTCTTGAGGCTGTTTAACTATCTTTGCCACTCAAAGATGAAAGGTTTTTTAGCATTTCCTTTTGCTTAATCCTTCAGAAATTAATTCTTATGCTTTTTACTACAAACAAAATTACTCACCTGGATTAAAGATTAAGGCCTTAATCTATTTAGATTATCTTTAATCTCTATGAAATTGTAAAACAAAACAGAAATCCTTTTTCACCTGTAGGCCAGTTTATAGTTAATTGCCCCTAAGTAGTAGCATTTTTGACCTGAAGTAATAAGTTAATTGTCTTGACTACTCAAAGTCCCTGGATTGTCCTCAACTTTCTCTTTGTGTTGTGTAGCCCTGATGTCACTTAGCTTGTTATCTGATGCCTCCAGTAGGACACCTCTGATGGAGCTTTGATTTCTCCAGCACTGAAAGCCCCATTCTAACATGCGTATCATATAGACTGCCTATGATGAAGGACCCAGCCCCTCCACTCATTCCACCAGAGTGCTGGCTGAGTTTAAAAGCTGACCTGTGTTTGTAATTTCACTTTCATCTTGCTTAATAAATATCTGCTGGATTCTTTCATTCATTTTTTTAATATTTGGATTTATGTATTTAATAAAAGGGGTATTATACTGTTTCATTGTACTTAATTGGCAAAATATAAGATGCTGTCTAAAAAGCACACATTGAGTTCATGAAAAAAGGATAAAACATACATAAGAACATTGACTTTCTAAATGTATAGTATAACAAGCATACACAAAGTACCTTGAATGCTTTCTCCAGATGTTATATTTAGGATTTCTGAGCACTGAGTAGTTTACTGCTATTTGCTTTTGTGAAGAGGGTGGTGGAGAACTGTCAAAAAATGAAGGTAGCAATTGCTGAGTATAATTTTGTACATTTATATAAATTTTAAGTGATCTCTGAAAGCAACTGTGTTGCTGTTGTTAGACAGAATTTCCTGTTTAATGAATTAAAGCAACAAAAAAAATATTTCATTGAAATCTTACATTTTCAAGGAAGAGATATGTGGTTTACCTGAAACAAACTGCTGAAAATTATATCTGTAAGTAAAACATACTGTACACAAGTGGTTTCCTTTTAACTATCACTTTAGGCAAACTACTCTCTAAATATTCACTTAAACAATTTCATAGAAATGATATAGGCCAAACATGTTTAGTGTTCACTTCAGTAAGTTGCAAAAACAATCTGCATGTGTATTGTAATAGGCCATTAACACACAATACAATCTCAGCAAAAGCTTTTTGATTATTACTTTTTCTTAAAAACACCATTCTAGATATTTTTACAGTGTGATTTAATGCAGTGTAAGGTAATAAAAAGCAGAGGTTTAATATAGCCATTATTTCAGTTGACAGTTATTGAGTACCTACTATGTGACAATCCTTGCCTTGAGCACTCAGCACTCTGTCCTTTTGGACAGACAGGCACTTCACACATCAGATAATGTTAAAATGTCTGTTCATTGACTTATACTCATTTCAAACCTGCTAATAATGAGCACACAAAAGCAAATACCATCTTTTACCGATTCAGAATGTCATTGGTATGAAAGCTCCAGAAAATATATCAAGTAATCAATATGTTCAGAGAATTTTCTCACATAAATTACTCATTAACTCAATAGCACATAATAAGAACATCAATTAATTAATGAGTCACCCTCAGATCGCTATGATTACAATAGAACTCTGTTGAAACAGTAGTTATAAATAGAGCTGCCACCCTTTAGTCATGGTGTGCAATTGGACCTTACATGGGTGAAACCAGTGTCATACTTAGCACTATCCTGGTGTGGCACTGTACAATAAAGGTCAGCAATTCAAACTCACCAGATGCTCCTATGGAAGCCCTATACAGACAGGGTCACTATGAATTAGAACTGACTCGGCGGCACTTAACAATAGAGGTGGTTGTATGGTCAGTATCATAAATGGAGAATTCGGTAAATTCACTGTATATGCCACCTTGGTCAGAGAAATATCACCCAAACTCAATTTTACTATAGCTTTCTCTGAAGCCAAGTTATTAAAAATAACTAGGATGAGCACTGGATAACTAACAGAAAGTTCTTAGGGGCTACCAGCAGCTCCTCGGAAGAAAGTCTCCAGTAAAGATTTACCGCCTTGGAAACCCTATATGGGGCCGCTATGAGCCTGAGTCAATTTGATGGCAGTGGATAGCTTGATAAAAGATGTAGTTTTTCATTTATACTAAAGATACAAGACGTCTGTATTGAACACTGAAAATTAACAGTTCAAACACTTAAAACGTGAATTTTAAATGCTTTGTCACGCACAAGATTTAATTTCAGTAATATCCCAGTGACAAATTACTAGTTTTGCATATCTACCCCAAAAGGGTACTTTACTTTTGTTGTACAGCATTGGGAAAGATGTGTGGGGGCTGACAGCAATAGCCAAAGAGAGTTAAAAAAACACCAAATACTAAATTCAAAGTTACCAACTAAAGTTTCTCAACTATCTTGGTAAATGCCATTCCAATAAGCTTATAGAATAATTATAACAGTTCCCTTAGGTAAGTAAGAAACATCTGTTGGTAACACATAGCAGGTGTTAACAATTACACATACTGAAAATTTAAAAAATGTTTTTAATTAAAAGAATTCTGTTATCTGAGAAGGAAAGTATGTTAAATTCAAAGATATTCCTGTTTTGAGTGTGCAGATCACGTAACGCACAAAATTGTAAAGCCAAAATCATCTTGGATCAACTAGGTTTTGTGTTTGGTTCAGATCATTGCAATCAAAAGTGAATTGGAATTCATTGCACTTTTTACACAATTAGTATTCTGGGCTGAGGAACTGAATACTTATAAAATTGGTATAGCAGAGCTGATTACAGAATATTTTGGTTTTATGGGAAAGGTGCTTGCAGTTAACTGTACCAAATTTAATGGACATGGTATGAGGAGAAAATGGGATCAAGGAACATTCAGATAATAGATTATCCAGTTTTTTTCTAACCCTGCTTCTGGAGAAAAGACTCTAAATTATGTAAATAATAAAAAGAAACTGTAATGTAATATTACTATATGACATCAGTTATTTTTAATAATATCTAACATTGGACTGCTAACCACAAGGAAAATGGTGCAAACCTACCAGCTGCTCCTTGGAAACACTTATAGCAGAGTTGTTAATGAGTCAGATCTAAGTCAACAGCACTTCACAACAACAATTAATGAACATTTCCCATGTAGCATTTATTCACATCAATATACTCTCCAGAACACCTCAATGACATACTACTATAATCTCTGATTTATAAATTTTGTGTAAAAGCAGGAAAAAAAAAATCTAACTTGACCAATGCCAGACCACAAAAAAACCAATATACTTTAGATTTAAATACAGTTCGTTGGGTTTTAAGTAGTCAATATTGAAAGTGCCATGG